ATGAAACGGACTTATTTCTTCCTGCCTGCTGCCTTTGACGAGAAAAGGAAACTAGTTGTTCATAAAATAACGTTAGGCTATTAGTTAAACTGTTACCCGCTGAAAAATGTGAGTATTTTCTTGAGAATTAGGCCTACACCGCCGTAAAAAAAAAAAAAAAAAAAGGCCTATTATTACATAATTTAATTAAGAGTTCAAAAGTATCAATAAAAAGTTTCCATCATATTTTCTGACAAAATAAGAATGACAACTTATCATATTATGTGTATCAAATAATACTCAATGTATCATTTACCTTACAAACTGCAAAGTAGTGGAAAAAGTGGAAATCGGGATTAGGCTTCAGAAACATACATTAATGTGAAAATCAGCTGGAAACTGAACGAATAGTTGTAACCTGGCCCAGAGCAAGATAGCAATCATGTATTTTGGAAATTTGTCTGGTTATTAAGGGATAATACAATATTTCTTCACCTTACAAATGGTTGTTGAAAGCAAAAATGCTAAGAAATGCATCATATTTTGTGATAAAGTGTGATGCGCAACAGTGCTAGAGCAATTCAGACACTGTTTTTAAAATCAGCACCTCAAAATTAGCAACAATCAAGTATTGGATTTTATTCAAGGCAGTGATATTTAAAAGGTTAAACTCAGTTCGAAAGTATTTATAGCATAATGTTGATTATCACAAAAAATTATTTCTAAATTCCACATTTTTGCTTTTAAATCCTCCAAAAGATGGCCTTATTTTATGGAAGCTTGTTTCCACCACGGGTAACAAATCAAAGGTAATTGCAACATTTAATCTTTATCTTTTTCTCTCAATTCTGAGTTTATATCTGACAATTGTTTCTTGCAGTTGTGAGAATTGCGAGATATAAACTCAGAATTGCTAGAAATAAGCTCAGAATTTTGATTTGTTAACTTTCAACTGGGAGTTTATTCATTTATTTAAGGAGAGATGAGAGTTTTTGAGGTAATCCACATTTTGGGCTTTGTACCTGGAATATTCTTCTAAGTGTAAGTTTATCTGCTCATATTTAATGCTGCCACCTTATCATTATTTATGCATTCAAAAGCTGTTGTTTTTGTACCAGAGAGCTATTTATAGTAGCTTGTGGTGTTAATGCTGTTGCACAAAAAGAATAGCTTGTCTAGTTGTACAGTATACTAATTGCAGGGATGGTCAATTTAAGGCTTAAGTGCCTTGATCAAAGAGCAGGCTTGTGTTATCAGTAATCAGTAATTGTGTAATATCAGCATCCCTGCTATGATTGATCTGAAACCTTTTGTCAGCAGCTCAGATCCTTAACTAATTTGCTATGGACACAAAGCACCTTAGTTCTAATGACCTATATTCTTCATGATTGATTAAACTCTTGGACGGTCTCTCAGAGAAAGGCCTTGTTGCAATAGCTTCATCCCTCCCGGGCCACTTCGAATTGACAAATAAATTTTGGACCAGAGAACAGAAAGCGACATTTCTCAAAGATCTGGCTTTTATAAAGCCTCTGTCATATTACCAGCATGACTTGCCATTCCAAGCTCTTGCCACAGTTTCTCTTATTACCTTGGCCCATTCAACAGCCATGTGTCTTTTTGTATTAGATGGGTGTCAGTGTACCCACATGTCAGCACCCTGGACGTCAGAGAGCGTTAGTCAAGCCTCACACCTGACCCCAACATGTGACCATTAACCCTAGAGTCACATAGCCTTGCAGTTATTTAAAAGGTCATGACGGGGGGCCCTAATGCCGTTTGCCACTCCTGACCCCTCACCTTGCGAGACACTTGCTCAGTCTTATAATAAACAAAAGAGCCCGTGCAGCTGGTCACCTGCGGGACATCTGCTTCTGAAGGCTGCCAATTGCTTTTGAGCTGCGGAGATTTTAAGAGGCTGTTGGAATTCATTAACGGAGCTGAATGCATAGATTGTGTATTGTGAGCAGTGGCGTTTGGGGAGCGACTGACTGAAATTCAGAGATGTTAATCATTTAAGCTACATTTTTTCAGTGGCGTGACAGTAGTTCAGCTTTCAAAATAGAGCTTGTCCAGTAATGAGCAACTTTTGGCATAGCGTGACTAGCATGCATCTTTACAACTGGGTGAAATGAGGTAATAATCAAATGCACTCTCTTAAACGGGCTTCTCTTTCATATGTTATGTGTCTCTGTGCTACATTTCATTAAAGAGCAGGTCATATGGTATTTTAAAGTGTCCTAATATTGTGTTGGAGTCCCCTACAACAGGTTTAAATACATCTAAGGTCAGAAAACATTGTAATTATCTCAGAATATACATTTAAAGGTCCCATATTGTCAAAACTGAAATTTCCTGGCTTTTTTCACGATAACTGCAGTCTAGGGGCTATTTAACTACCATATAAGTTTCAAAACAGTCAGTCCACGGTAAAATGCACACAGCCTGCATAAAGTAGCTGTGATTTTTCACGAACCGTTGTGACTTCTGTAAAAAGTTGACATCAGAACTACACAGTCAC